ATGACTGAACGTCTTTCCCAGTGTTTACTTGGACAAAAGTTGGCCTCTGAGTTCCATGATATCTCACCTTAAAAAATTAAAATAAAATAGGGTTCATGGGAATTATATATTAAATGGCCTTGAATCTTGTAGACTTGTGTTTATTAGATCCTAACGCGATATCCATTTTGAGAGAATTAACACTTTTTGAAAGAAGCTTAATAGTGGTAATATTGTCATGAGCACATATATATGTTTAATTTTCTTTTAAAAAGCCTTCATATAATAATGAAAATTTAGACTTGGAGAGTCTTAAGCACTAACATGTGTTTTTTTTTTTCGATGTGTTACAGGAATTCGTATACAAACCACTCATGCTGGCTCTTTAAAGTGGAAGTACACAGTTTGGGGCGTGTCGGAAAAATCTGCCAACAGGAAACAGTTTGATGTAACAGATGAGGGAACAGGTCGCACTTACAAAACAACTGTTGCAGATTATTTCAAAGATAGATACCGGTTAATTTTGAGGTGTGAGCTGCAGATGATTTATAGAACTTGTAGGCTTTCTATTATAAGCACTTCTGGACGTGCATATTGCAGGGTTCTCGCAAATTTTGCAAGAGTTTGTCGCCCTCTCGAGTGGCCTGGAACGAAAAATGAGAGCCCGCACAATTTCCCGTACCAGACCCCTCTCAAACCTCCCGCCACCTTGCTTCTTTGGCGGACTTTACGATAAGCCATATAGATACTGGTGACGTTCAGCTTGCAAATTGTGATTGATAAAAATAATCCAGATGAAAATTGAAATGATTCTAATCATAGCGGACTTACTAACTGAGAGATATAATAGTACAACATGTACACATAATTTCATCTGGTAGTCATTAGAAATTAAGAAGCCTGCCACTCACATTCGCTTGAAGGTGTCTTAATATTAAGCTTTGTTACCTGTAGGTATCCTCACCTACCGTGCTTACAAGTTGGACAGAAAAAGGACAGGTATCTCCCAATGGAGGTCTGTACCATTATTCCTTGTCTAAGAAAACTTTTATCGGAACAACAGATTGCAAATATGATCAGAAGTACTGCTCGCCCTGCGCCTGAGCGGCAGCGTGACATTCAACACTGGGTATGTTTATTCACCATTGAAATCTCTATTTCGTGTATTGAAATATAAGTGTATACAGGTATTGGGTATTGGGTATGCACTATTTATAGTGTACTATTAATTAAATAAGGATCAGAGTTGGTGCAGGGTTCTCGGAAAATGAAAGTGCCGAGTCCACTGAACTGACTTCGTATTTTAAAACTTTTGATTGAGGAAATCACGTTTTATCTATATGGTCTACTACTCGCTGAAAGAAAATTCTCATTAGTAGATACGCTCTGCAAACTTGGCCTAAAGGATAGCGCATTTCCTCTCAAGCGGAGGGGCTCGAAATCGATCCCGGATGAACAATTTTTAAATTTCTTCCGTTTTCCTTTTTTACTATTTTTGCTCTTACTTTCGTCTCCAAAGGGTTTTTTTTTTCATTTCGTCCAGGGCGTAACCATTTATTGCGCAGTAACCAGCATTCAGACACCAATTACCGAAGAGCAGCTTTCTGTCTGAGAAAAAAAATAATTGTCTCATTCTTTCCAAAGTACTGTTCATCGATTTTGTGTTTTCGGAAACCGATTATTTAAATTAGGATCAACAAAGTTTATAAGGAAGGCCTTGTCAGTATTAAATACCGAAATATAATGTAACAACTTCTTAATAACTGTAGGTGAAGGTCGTAGTGGAGAATATTGGTCCGAGGCTGTGGCAGCACGGACCGAGCACAGCGAGGTCCTTACAAAAACGACCGTTGGCCAACATTCCGATGTGCAGCTTGATTAAGCGAAATTAGTTAGTTTGTTTTATGGCACTCGGACCAAATTTGTTTCTTTCAAATTTGTAGGCTTTGGCTAATTGCAAAAAACACGGCTTATAACCGTTTCCGATACCTTACCTAAATTTATTAGCACCTGATATGCGCAATTCGCCCTTTTTCTCATCTATCGGTAACCTTTTCTGCTCTCAAATCTCAGATGTCATTTAGTACGCGGCATTTCTCAGCAGACTGTTAAATTTTTTACCAATTCTCAGATATCAGTTGAGTCTCACGAAGGAACTGAACATGCGAAAACCTTATTTGCTAGTCAGCAGACTTACCGTCACAACACGCTCAATTATACAACTAGTGAACTTTATTACATCGAGTAACAATGATCTACATGTTTGACAGAAATATTTTTAACGAGAAAATGGTGAACTGTAGTTGAGGCAAGAAAAGTATGGTAAATGGCCTCACCAACCTTAAATTAATGATGAATATTCCAAAAGCGGCTGAAAGTTTGGGGAAACTTGTCGAAAGCTTTGAGATTACGTTTATCAGTTAGTACCTTACACCGCTGTCTAACTACCAGGATGATCCTATGTACTCAACTGACACCTCTGATCAACGCTAGCCGAATTAAAAGTAAATTAATAATAACACTGACTGTTTAACGCCTTAAGTAATTTGATTAAAAAATAGATACAATACTACTATTATTCTTCTATAATTGCTTATGGTCAATATTTCCAGTGAGATTCTGTGATTTTTTTCCTATTTGTTTCAAGAAATCTGCTCAAAAATGAACAAAAAAAATTTCAAGAGATGTGCTCTGGCAACTTGACTGAAACTTAGAGAGCTTGTTGAGCTACGACTTTCTTACGCCTAAAAGGGAGTTTTGCACAATTGCATCGGCCTCTTGAAATAAATGTTATGAACTGTTCGTGTATCCAAAATGCTTATTAATGTAAATCTTATCAGGTACAAGAAATGACTCGAGCAAGTAGTAAATACTTAAGAGATGAGTTCCAAACCTCAGTCAGCACAGAGATGGTTAAGGTGGAAGGACGTGTGCTTCCACCACCCAGAATCAACCTTGGGCCGCAGGATCAGCCGTTGGTTCCTCGTGATGGTTCATGGGACATGCGCAACAAATCGCTGCATGATGGAGCCCGCATTGAAAAGTGGGCATTGGCTTGTTTTTGCAGGAGATGTCGGGAAGACCAGCTGAGAAATTTTTCTAAGCAAATGGGCAATGTATCCAGTCGACAGGGTTTGAAGATGTCAGAGGAGCCAGTTGTTGTGAGATACGGCAGGGGTGCCAGAGAGGTGAGATATCTTCACATTTGACAAGTGTTACGCGAAAACGAAATGAGTGTCATTGAAAAATCCACCGAGCAGAGTTCAGAAGGGTACTCTTTGCTTAAACTATGAACAGTGAAGAATGAGTGGACAGTGCTGTTTACTTATTCATCGGGTAGTGATTGGGTGTCAAAGGAATTGAGTGGCGCTACTAACGATCCAAGCTTTGATTATTTATGCCCTTAAGGCTCTACTTTGCAAGCAAGGAATTCTCAGGTAAAAGAGAATTGTTTCTCTCTTCGTCACGTAGGACACTTGTAGATTGCTTTATTTGTGTTTTTTTTTGTATTTCACGCGCTCCTTAAGCGATCGATACGACCCTCAAGTAATGCCTTAGGGATTAGTTTGGAAACTTGAAAATGAAACAGCGGTGGAAGAGCATATGCCTTATTCGACGAGCAATGAGCAAAATGTCCGTTTGTATTACATGTTGAACTTTCAAATAAGGTGTGCTTTTGTACAGAAACTCAGATCACGCGTAAGGTAGCAATTAGTGCTCCTGTGTTAGATCCATCTCGTAGAATGATAACAGCAAATTGTGTTACACTTATGGACTGATTAGAATTCTTTTATTACAAAACAAGTAGAGTTTGAATTCAAGTTAGGCTTCCATGATTTTATTTCATTTTTAATACTTTCAGGTAGAGAGTTTGTTTTCTAAATGGGTTGTGGACATTCCAGGCCTACAACTGATCATGGCTATTCTGCCCGAGAGAGACAAACAAATCTATCCGGAGATAAAACGTGTCGGAGACAATGTCATTGGAATTCCAACGCAGTGTGTCCAGTCAAAACACGTAAACCGTACCAACCCCCAGGTTTGCGCCAACATTGCGTTGAAGATTAACTCCAAACTTGGTGGAATTAATCATGTTATAGATCCAGGTGTAAAGTCGCCTGTTTTCAGAGAACCTGTTATTATCTTTGGCGCCGACGTCACTCACCCCTCCCCGACTGAAAATGGAATTCCTTCCATTGCTGCTGTTGTAGCGAGCATGGACGCTAATGCCACTAAGTACTGTGCACGAGTGCGAGCACAGAACCACAAGAGTGGTAAAGGTGCGCAAGAGATAATAAATGACTTGGCGGTTATGGTGAAAGAGCTTTTAATTGAGTTTTACAAAGCCAATCGGAAGCTTAAGCCTAGCAAGATCATCTTCTACCGGGACGGAGTCAGCGAGGGTCAGTTTGACCAAGTTCTTGTTCATGAGGTGCGGGCTGTACAACAGGCCTGTATTATGCTTGAAAAAGATTATCGCCCGAGAATCACTTTTGTTGTGGTTCAGAAGCGCCATCATACGAGATTGTTCTGTGAAAACCAACGAGATGAAGTTGGCAAAGCAAGGAATGTTCCTCCTGGTACAACAGTGGACAGCGGTATCACACATCCGTATGAATTCGACTTTTATTTGTGCAGTCATTATGGAATCCAGGTACATCAGCTTTAACATGACATGTCGAGTTTTTACTCTGAGAATGGTGATTGGGAGCTTGATTATTCTTTGTCAATCAAACCCTTACCTTTCCTTGGTTACAATGTAGCTGTGCTATCTACAATTACCCACCAACTGCTCAAATAGCTACGGCACTTTTTTTGTCTCTTTGTTTCTAGTTTTCTATTCATCTTTGAACGTGTGAAAGAGCACCATCCTCTCCACACATTTCATAAATATAAGTACAACTCTGACATGAATCACGAGAGGTTTGCTTAAGTGATGGACTAGTATAGGATGATTTGCATACGGGTTGTCAAATTCAAAAAGTCTCGAAGGCATTCAGGTTTCCGAATAATCTCGTTCCAAAGTCTCTAACGGAAAAATTTTTATCCATATGGATGGCATTATTATTCCTTCTGTGACCTTATCGAAAAAAAGAGGAAAAATTGTTTACATATATTTCTCTTCCTGAACTAAAAATTTTAGAACATGGCTTTAGGACAGCTGTGTAAACTTTCTGGAACAACCTACCCAGTAACCTAAGTCAGACAAAATCATAATTTAGTTGATTCAAGCTATTACTTAGTTTTTATTTTGAAGTTAGTGAAACACCAATTTTGTGATCAGGTTGAGTTCGTATCGATTTTAGATTATTTGTTTTTTTTGAGGACGTTTAAAGGCATGCACGGACGTAGTTACCTTTGTTAAAACAGTCATTTATTTCTTTTTTTTCTCAATGAAGTTTACTCTGATTTTACCCCGGCTTATAGGGAACAAGCCGACCTACACACTATCACGTGTTGTATGACGATAACTCATTCACAGCAGACGGCCTTCAGCAGCTCACATACCAGCTATGTCACGTGTACGCACGGTGCACACGCAGTGTTTCTATGCCAGCCCCCGCCTATTATGCCCATTTGGTGGCTTTCAGAGCCAGACACCACGTAACCGGAAATGGAAGGTTAGTGTTCACAGACTTGATGACCCTTGTATTTTTATTGAAATTTGTGTTCGAGTTATTACTTTGTCTCTTTGTCTTACTTTGGACTGTCAGTTGCTTAAAAAACGTTTGTAACTTTTTAGCACCGCTAGTCCTTACTTAACATGATTCCTCTTCCGAGCCAGTTTACTTGTAAAGTTTTATTAAAAGTAGAATCTTCTTGTTTCAGTATCGACCTGGTGAAATCTGCAAAAGCCATCGAAGTCAACGCGAAGATGAAAGGAGCCATGTACTTTACTTAGCTATTCAGCGGGAATATGATGTGCACATGCGCAATTTAACGTATTGGCAATGACGAAAACAACGAAAGATGGAAACTGTTTTGTTGTGTTATAATTGTTATAAATTAGTACTGTAACTCCCAGGAATGATCAAAGTTTCACTTCTCCTTACGATTCATATATGTTGTCTTATAAACAGTTTAGGAGATTAGACATGCTTATTAGCCGGAGTGTTTTCTGATATAACACCATATTAACCAGTCTCAATCATAGGGAATTGTATGTCCGTCAGAAGAGAGAATTACCGCTTGGATCTGGGAATTAAATGGTCCAACCAGAATTAGCAAACAAGACGACTATTGCTATGAAGACATCAATTTAAATAACTGCTTGTTTTTTCCTCATTTTGTTAAAAAAAGGGTTGGGCTATTTAGAGGTATCACTCTTGATTTGAGCAAAATTTTATTGAAAAAATGAAGTAAACTAGATTCAGTTCAATTGTTATTATTATCAAAACAGTTTGTATAAGAAAAATGTAAATGGAAGAGACACTGCCTCCTCACAAATGTTACACGTTGTGATAGAAAAGACTAAATGTATTAAAATGGTTGTTTGACATAGTTTGATGCTACTCTGGTTTTAAGATTTAATGAATGTAACGGAGAAGTTACAATTCATAGACCCAACGTTTCGACACACCTGTCTAGTGGCTTCATCAGAGGTGATCTAACGCTACAACAAGAGGTCCTTTTATACGCTCTCTAATTAGCTGCCCTTTTTTCTGACGAGGTGTAAATAGGCGTCAGGAATTAAGCCGCCATCATCACGATTTAAAGGAGGGTGGGCGGAGTTGATATGTCAGGCGTCTAGATAAAGGCGCTAGTGGTAATACCGATTAGTGGTGATAATTTTAGACTTATCCCACCCAATTGTATGGTTGATTAGGCATGTGTGCTCCGATAAAGCTGAATTTTCTTTTTTGCTAAAGCAGACCGCTTTTTGATGCTCTTTCAAACGTGTACCAAACTGACGTTTGGTCTGTCCGATATACTCGTTATCACAGTCATTGCAGGGAATAGAATAAATAGCGTCGGTTCGTTGTTCTTTCGTGACAGGATCCTTAGGTTTGGCAAAAATATGCCCCAAAGTCTGAAAAGGTTTTTGAGCAACTTTAACGTTGTGGCCATTCAAAATTCTCTTGATGGGTTCCGTAACACCCTGAATGTAGGGAATAACAGCAAAACCAGTCGCTGGTTCCCTCTCATCAGGAGTGCTACTAGTTGTAACTGGTTTTCGGCAGTTACGGAGAAAAGTTTCCCATTTCTGCCCGCAGTTTGTGGCTTTCTTACATTTGTGTACCGTTCGTAGGTTAAGTTCTTTTGTTTTGCAGTTCTAGCTAAAGTTAACTTAGTAAAGATTTGATGAGTTGCCAGTGGTATTGATATTTAAACATCTATCTTTTTTGTGAAGAGCTCAATGAGTAAAGGTCTATAAAATTCCAAAGGCGTATTTCTATATTAACAGCATTCGCCGCGTTCAATGTGTTATGATGTGAGCTGGAGACATGGGTCGAGTACGAAAATACAAAGCCTGTTGGAAAACTTCCGAGAGAGATGATTTTCTGAGAAATTTACGGGTGAGAACAGAATATACTGTTGTTGCGTCATAGTGCCTGGTTAAGACAATTCGAGAAACATACGTCCTAAGCAATCGTTTTTCAGCAAACAGAGAAACGAGAGACGGGAGACACGGTTAACAAGATCCTTAAAATCAACGGCCTTTTCCAATTTTCCTCATCCTGATTGTATATTTACCCTACCTATCCTGTTCAGTGAAATTTCACCGACCCAATCCTTCAATCCAGTCCCCCGATATTCCTTCTACTCTTAAGCTGAGCCATCTAGGGGACTTTGCCCCTTACCAGGCCCCAACACGTTTCCGACACGTTATTCTTCTTTTGTCTTATATTTGCACCATTTCTGCTCAACCCGGCTAAGCTCGGCTAATTCTTAGCAACAATCATTTGTTTGATACATCAATGCAAACTGAGAAGTTCAGCCACGTTTCGACTTTACACAACTCTACGGCACGCTGGGCTTGCTTTTGTACCGCGGTGGGCTGCCACGGGAAATTGCTGTACTGTATGGTAAATTTGAAACGGCCTGCGTAATGATCATATTTAAAAAGCTATACTAATCATTTCAGCATCGATTTTCTTGGAAAATATTGGAGGGATGAAGCTCAAATTCGGAAAAGAGATCGAGCATCATGTCATCGATCAACAACCGTCGCTAGTTAGGAGAGAATTTCAGTAATTTGGCGTTAACTTCAGTTTGATGTGGAGGAGGTCGCGGCTGGCGGCCATCAAGTTGCAAGCCTTGTTTCCCTTTCCCCAGCGGCCTCCAGCCAAAAGTAATTTCGTAAAAAGACGCTTCAAACGGCCCATGAAGACGAAAAAATACCACAAATGAGTTCTTTAACATTTTATTGAACTTTATAGAGATATTAAGACCGAGATGTAATTTAGATATGCAATTTTCAGAGTTTTCACGTAGGGTTAAAGGACTGAATTAAATAAAAGCCCTTACATTGCTTAAAGCCTCTCTCAGTTAAAAGCGAACTATGTCCTGAAATCTTGGATCGCTTTGCTAACAATCGTGTTTAAATGTAGCGGTAAATTTTCACAAATACGCCGAATAAAACAGGCAAGGGTACCTACTTATCCTAGAAATGAGTTTTGAAATCATTCCAAACAGCATCGTCTCGTCTACAAGTGTACAATTTACGCAAATCCCAGGCGTTTTGATCGCGACGGGTAAACAAGCGAAATGACATCCTGAATTTGTTGCAGAGAAAGACAACGCCAACACCGAGAGATTTTCCTTAACGCAGTGGAGAATTCTGCAACACGCTTCATTCCGCTTTAACTTGTAACACAACCGGCTACTTTAATGGAGGCAAGCTGAGTAAAGACAGAAAAGCCTCCATAAATATTATGTTTCCATAGAAGGGTTCGTAGTCATGGTGACGGTGACGTTTTTACAACTCAAGCTTAGTTCAGTGGCCACGGATATGTTTGTGAACGTCTTTAGAGTCGGTTTTCACGGAAGGGTTCGTAGTCATGGTGACGGTGACATTTTCACAACTCATGCTGGGGTCAAGCGGATATGTTTGTGTTGGAGTCGAGTTTCGACGCTTAACCGCTGTCAGTTAAACTTAGTGCACTCAACAACACGTGGGCAAAATTGCCTAGAAAATCCATAAATTGCCAAAGCAGGGACATCTCTCTCGCATAGGCTTTGCATTACTAAGGGTGATTCATCAAAATAAATACCCATTATTATCATCATACACCGTTCATCCAAGTTACCCACAATGCATGATCCTAGGACGAACAGACGCGACGTGAAAGGACAACAATTTGAAATTCTGAAACTGATAGGGCGGTGACGATAACTCAACTTTGGGTGACCAATTGAGACAACTCCTTCCGCTATCATAAATGAGTCAAAAGCGCCCATGAAATAAACCACTACAGCCTTTATAAGAATTTGAACTGTACTACATCGCCATGTCTGATGTCGCATACAGGGGTCTGCTCTTTGAGATAGGCGGAAAACTCAGTCAGCATGATCGTCAACAATTACTCGCAGTGTGTGGATTAGAAGACGAGGCTGATAACTTACCAGACGCCCATTCATTATTAAAAAGACTAGAAGGAAAGAGTCAATTGGGAATTGACCGACTTGGAGATTTGGAGGACGTCTTGGCGGCTTTAGATGAGTTGTCTCTGTTGGAAAAACTTAAAGAGTTCGAGAAGAAAAGGAAAGAATACAAAAACTTACTTGCAAAGGTAAGTCATGCACTCGATAGCGACGAACGCAATCATCTGGAACAACTCAAGGATATTTGTAAAAGAGAGACATCGATAGAGCTTGATGAGAGCATTTCCAATGTTCGAACATTGTTCAAAGAACTGGAAAAACATGGAAGTTTGGGATTTCGCAGACTTGATTTTCTGAAAGAGATTTTGACAGAAATAGAGAAGGAGGACTTGGTGAGAGAGATCGAGGAGTATGAGCAGCGACGAAATAAGAACGATGCAGCCCAAAGAAGGAAAGGTAAATAAAAATTTTGTGTTTGTGTATGAAAACGCTTAAGGCAATTGAGTGTAGTAGGAGCATACGAGAGATATGGGGAGATTTTACAGCAGGATATTAAGTGCATTTTCGCACCCGCATATCACTGAACTGATTTAACATCGACTTTTTCCTCGATCCTTGGTAGAGATCTTGTCTGGTGTCTCTCATGATAACTATGTTCTTTTATTCTTTTCATTTTAAGCGAAAGTGTACTCTTGGGGCAAAGCTGTTGTCGAAAAGGCGGCTCAAGGTAAGCAGAACTTTTCCGTGATCATGTGGAGTAGTTGTTCGCTGTGTATCAAAATTTACAAGGTATCATGAAGTGATATCTTAAGTTTGTCAGAAACGACCAATATAGGTGATCTTTGATTGGAGAAAGCCTTCTGAAGTTTTTACATAACAACCGAGGCACTTCCAATGGATGTTGTATGTATTTTCGATGTCGTTGCTTTGTAGCACTACGGCTTTGCGGGTCATTCCCAATGATAAAGGGGTGAGACAGTAGGCACTGCGCATAAGCATACTTCAGAAGACTTTACAATTGTCAGTGCTTACATTGGTGACTGTACCCGGAAAATCTGCTCTTAAGATGCTATTGGACCGTCTTTATTACTAGAGTTTCCAGGCCTGTAGAGTTCCCAACTAGGCATAGAACGTTTTTGGGTAACCAGTTCACGCAAAGGATGCAACACTCATGTTTCCTTATTTACCTTAAACTATCGTTTCTTGTTTCGTCTGCTGAGAGAATATCATTAATCTACATGTTTAAGAAAGAGCTTGCTTAGATGAGGCATTCAGTAGTGCCCAGGAAATACGGTTAGACGAATAAATTGTATAGGAGAGCTGATTGCATGTAAAGAGAACCTTTTATGTAACATATTTTTGGACTCCTCTTCCAGCTTCAGCGTTTGCTAAGCTTGACCTGAATGCAGCTGTGCTAATTTCATGCGTGATCTCAGGGTTACACACAAATATTTGGTCTTGGAGATAGAATAGTAATGTAAATTGGTTGCTCAGTGAATCGTTTTCTTCTAATTCTAACTTTACTGAGAAGTGTGGCTATCAGGCCAAACTTTGTAACAAATACAGAGAAAGCGTTAATTGTGTCAGCTTCTGAGAATTGAATCCGTAATAGTATTGTTTATGGCGGTTCCAGACCATTTTCAAATCAAACGTATTCCGAATCATTTCGAGCATATTATTTTTCAACATTTTGGTAAATTACATGTTATTAAAAAGAAATAATTTTATGGATATGAAAGATGGACATAATTTGATGGAATCATTTTATAATGTCAAAGCGTTGAAATACTATAGGAGGCTAGCGATATGATCTCACAGCAGTTTTCTATTGCGTGACATTCTCAGAAAAACAGGAAGTTAATAATGTGATACAAAAGGGACTTTTGCGAGGAAATGAGTCATAGCATTGCCATTGTTTTGAGGTCATTTAATAGTCGCATGATTTTTTCGTCCTA